GGGTTATTTATGTTTGGAAAAGGATTATCTGTCACTAGACATGAGCCGGACTTCCGGTCTCCGGTGTTGGAATATCAGCCAACACTTCCCTCCGGCCTCTCTCTGATCGGCTGTTTTCAGCAAATTTAAGGCTTCCAACGTGTAGGCCTAAACTCTTCTCTTCCTCTGTCCATTCTGCTCCATAATAATGTTCCTCCTTTGATCGCTCTTCGTGTTGGGATGGCCTCAAAAACATGCTTCCCCACTGCGGAAAATGTATTAATGCAACCGGAAGGGTACACACGACCGCCATAACACCCATCAACGATAGTCCTTCAGCTGTACTGAACCTCGACGAGGAGAAGAAAAGGAGTTGAGTAATCCCCGACCCGAAATTTCCTCCAGCTCCAGTTAATCCCGAGATAAGCCCAAGAGAACGGCGGGAAACAAAAGGAGCAACACCGAAAAGGGCTCCGCAAGCGGCTTGTGTGCCGATGGAAAAGAGCATCATGGCTAAGATAGCTATAGGAAGCGAACTAGCACGACCAAGCCAGATGCAGAAGAGAGCTCCAACGGTTTGTAAGATCCACAAGGTCCATAACCGGCCCCTCATGCCAAAGAGCCGTGCAGCTACATCTGAGGCGTAGCCACCAAAGGGACGGGCAAAGAAGTTTGCCATACCAAAGCTGGCTGCTACAATACCAGCTGTGTGAAGCGTAAGGTTAAACCTGTCGTAGAAGTATCCGGATATAACGTTGTTGATCGTTAATTCAACTCCCATAGAAAATCCATAGAGAACAAATAAGATCCATGTTCTATAGTTCTTCACAGCGAACCAGAAGACCTATAAAAAAATATAACAAGAAGAAGAAAACTGTAATTAGAACAATTCATAAAACTGCTATAATGTGATCTTAAGCATTAATGTTCGATATTTTGTTATAATTAATTACCTTGGAGAATTTGTCTTTGGAAACTTGACCACTCTTTTGGAGGGTACTGAGGTTACCGTCAGGGAGATCTTGGCCGAGAGTAAGGACGAGAATGCCCATAATGATCTGAAGGATGCCCGGGATGAAGAAGGCGAACCTCCACGCCGTGAAGGGAGTGGCTCCGGTGAGTTTGATGACGTGGAAGACCATTGGCATGAGTAGCTGAGTCACGCCTCCTCCCATGTCTCCCCACCCTCCGGCACATCCGTTAACGAGTCCGATGATCTTTCCACTGAACATAACGCTTGTCCAGTACTGGCATGACACGAACGTTGCTAAGCAAAAACCGATCATGAACCGTACGGCTAAGTAGCTTCCGGCATCAGCTACGAACGACATGGAAAAAACAGCTGGAGCCGAGAGCATAAGAGAGAAGGCAGTACCGTAACGTGCCCCTAGAAGGTCACATACGGCACCCATGGCAAGTCTTGAAAAAATGGCCCCGGAGACGGATGCGACTCCGGCGTTTCCTATGTCGGTTTTGGTCAGATCGAGGTTGTCGCGGATGACAGGGACTAGAGGTGCAGCCGCAAAGGTAGAGATGAAGCAAGTGAAGAAAGAGATCCATCCTAAGTGGAAGGCTCTCATGTGTGGTTTGGCGAATGATAATGGTTTGAACACTTTTGCTCTATGTTCTGAGTCAACCGGTAAGGCAAACTTAGCCGTTGGATCGTCTGATCGGACGGCTTGTGAAGAATGGCCATCCTCGTCGTGGACGGAGAAGGAAAAGACTGGCTCCCTTGCCGTGACTCCATGCAAGGAGCTCCCCATAGAGCCATCTTCATTAGTATAGTTGTGAGCCATCAATCTTTTGTTCAAAGGAAATGGGAGAAATTAAGAGTAGGTTTCTTCTTCAACTACTTTTGTGGCCTTTGTTGATTTTTGTTTTTGATGTAAGTTGTAGAAGAGGAGTTGCATAGTATTTATAGACGAGTTGGAGATCTCAACTGGACATGGTGGGTAGAGAGTTAGGTTGGTCCAATGTTAGGATTTGAATAATACTCCATGAAATGCTAATTGATAATGAGTTTTATTATAATTGATAAGAACTTATAGTTATATTTAGTGTTTATGGCTTCTCTAAATTTTATGCACTAGTTCACACGGAGATGAGCATATTCTATATATGCTTAATGCAAATTACGTGCCCTATATAAATGATACATAACTTTTATTAATTATGTCAGTACGTTTCATAATGTCGTGTACCATATCTCCATCAAGTCAATTCTATAAAAAAAAAAATATCTCTATCAAGTCAAAACATTTATATAACCACCGTTTAAAATATATACACTAATATATTATAGAATTAATATATTGCGTACGAGTTGAATAAAATGAGGTAGAACGTGTCATTTTCACCGCCGGCTTTTCGTCCATTTCGCGTATATGTAGCAAATGTACAACCATGATGGGTATACCTTATGCATGGAGGTTTCCAGATGGTTATATTATTATATGTTAATATTGTTAATTTACAAGTATTAAACTAAAGGCCAATTAGTCCGTACGGTTCATTGCATAAATTTTAAAAATTAATTTCGGTTTGGCTTTTGTGCATTGTCCCATGTGGTCGACTCACCAAATTAATTTTGTATTGGAATTTAAAGAAAAGATGTTTTCGCAATCTTATATAATATAGTAAAGTTTTTCCAATGTGTTATCTATCTTTTTCACA